TATGTTTGTAATTGAAAAGGTGAACCTATATATATACATATATAATACTCCTACAATGCTATAGCAATGTTATAGTTATGTTATAAGCTCTATTTGTGGTTCGTTGTACAATAGATATCTTGCCCTGAGCAAGTGGATACCGTGGTCCCTGGAACTTAATTTATGGATTAATTGTATGTGTAATAAGATTCAAACTGTCAAACGGCCCCTAAGGGTTGAGAGAATGCGAGAAAGAGGGTTGAGAGAGCGGCGCATTTTGAGAATCAGAGGAAGGTTACAAATGGGGTTAGGGTAAAAGCTTTCCCTAAATATCATTTATATCAGAGTCTCAAAACGACAGCGTTTCAAGGTTTAGGTTACCCTTTTCAAGCATGGGTTATTTGATGAATGGGCCACTCGTTTTATTTGTATAATTCATTTTGGTCCCTAAATCGAGAATTACATGTTTCTAGTTTTGTCTCTTTATTTTACGCGTATTTAATTGTTGTCCCAAGTATTATTATTTAATTTTTTCTATTTTAGACATTTGACCTTTAAATTTTTGCATGTTGCACTTTAGTATTGAGCGTGTTTGGGTTTATTATGATTTTAGTCCATTATGATAACAATAGTTTTATTTCAGTTTCAGTGTTTAATATGGAATAACGTTGTATTTTTACCTCAATAGTTATTATGTTTGTTGTTAAGATGGTAAATTTATGTTCATTATTATTTAGTCCTTAGTTTAACCAGTATGCTTAGTTTCTGAAATTTACATTTTGAAGTGTTATGTTTCATTTTCTTTATTTTAGTCATATTTAGGTATTACATGTTAATATATATATATATATATATATATATATATATATATTTTTTTTTCTAATTTATATTTAAAAAATATGTATATAATTTTTGTATTAAAATGTCACATCGCATGATAATTTTTAATCATAATTTTTTAAATTAATTTTCTGCATGATATCCTCACGTGCATAACTCGACTTATAATTACATAATTGGATTAAGGATAATACATTTTTATTTTAGAATCGTTTTGAGGGGCTTGTCTTAACTTATTAGAGAATCACTTTCGACGATTTTAAACTGAAAGTGTATTCCAACAGTGAAACCTAAAAAATGATTCCTCACCTAAAATTTGAAAATGAGAGAATAAGAAATATTGGTTATTTAAACTCTTCGAGAAAAGATTGTTAGAACTTATCTAAGGTCAGATCTCGATGTGTTTAAATAGTCGAATATTTTTTCTTTCTAAAAAGGCTTGGTAATTTTAATTTAATTTGTTTTGGGTGCTTTTGAATATTATAATGGAATTATAATATTTCTTTATTTCGATTGGAGCAAGAATTGATTGCCTCAAGGTATGAGAGGTTTGTTTCTTCTCGATAGGAAATAATTAAATATTATTATATTTCATTTTAAAATTCATATTTTGTTGTTTTATGGGATTATAAATCAAATTAAATTCGAATTTGTAAATTTCATTGCAAAGACATTAATTAATCAACTAGGTATCGATTTAGGGTGATGTAGGGTGTTAATTCTTCCCCACACGTAACCGACTCCCGAACTCAATTTTCTGGTACGCAAACTATAAATTTGTCATTTAATTAAAATTATATTTCATTTTAAAATTAATATTTTTATTCAAAGATTGGTGGTGACTCCTCAAACCATACACTTTTATTTTTAAAAGGAATCTCAAATTTTTCGAAACGAGAGATTTTTTTAAATCACATTACTCTTTAATTACAAATTAATCTAGAGAGAGATAATCAAAAAATGGTGTGGTTTTTAAATTTTCAATTTAGAAAAAAAATCGTTTCGACATATGCCTTTGAAACTCCTTCAGAAAATTGCTCTAGTTTGAATTCTTCAATATCATCATCCCAAAATCCAGGATCATAATTCACGAGCAAGATGTGTAACATCCTCAATAACGGGTTAGTGATTAAAGTGTAAGATTTTAAAATTTCAGTGATCAAATTAAATAAATTGAAAAGTGAAGGAATTAATTAAAAGATGTTGGTGTAGGATGAATTAATAAGTGAATGAGAATTAAAAGGGTAAAAGGGTCATTGAGCAAAGGTATTAATTAAATATTAGATATTGGGTATTGTAATACCCAAGGGAAAGAAACAAGAGTTTCCAGATAACTCTTGATTCTTCTTTCTTCTTCAATGTGAAGCACCCAAACCTAAGATAAGTTTGATTTCTTTTGGTTAATCCTTCAAATTAAAGTATGGGTTTGATTATGAAGCTTTAGGAAAGATTATGGAGAAGAAAAATATTACAGAAACTCAAAGATTGGTGAGTTATGAAGGATTAAAGATAAGAAGTGGATAAGTGAAATCTTGAATAAGGATGTATAAATGGATTTAGAAGATAAATTTGACTTGTCATGAGTGGAAGTAAATGATATGAAGTGTTAGAACTAGATTTAGAACATGTTAAAATTTGAGTAAGATTCTTGAATTCAGTATTAATGATTGGATTTGTAAGGTTAAGAGGTATTAAATAGGTATTAATCAGTTTAAGTAGGTGTATAAGAGTTAGAAATATTAAATGAGGTGAAAGATAAAGAGTTGAGATGAAAAGAGTGAATTCCGTGCTTACAATGGGATTTCTGGGTTGTGTGCATCGATGCATCTTCAATGTGCATCGATGCACTCTCAAATAAACAAACATCGAATGCAATTAATGCATCGATGCATAAGGAGTGCATCGATGCATCCCCTTAAAATGCAAACATCGAATGCCATTTATGCACCGATGCATAGGTAGTGCATCGATGCATAGGTAGTGCATCGATGCATAGGTAGTGCATCGATGCACCGATAGGGAATGCATCGATACACTATATAGTGCATCGATGCATACCTTCATTAAAAGATGGAAATAACTTTTCTTTTAGCCTAAGAAATGATAGTTTAGAATATATTAATTAGTATACTAATAATTATCAACGAATTACTATGTAGATACAGAGCTTAATCAAGTTCACGAACAATTGCCCAGTAAGATCGATCAAGGAAAAAGCAAGGAAATATAGGTGAGTGCATATGTATAGTATGATTATAGAAATATACTCAATTCTAGACTTGTGATAAGTCTAGATTTTATATCTTGATACATGATCATATTTGTATTATGAGACATGACATGAATTCATATAAAATGCATTATGTGACATGAATGTGCAGGAAAAGTTATATGAGCTATGTGAAAAGGTAAGAATTTACATGTCTACGCGATATAAACTACGTGAAATGTAAAAGCCCATGTTATGTAGATGAGAACTATAGGTATAGTTGGCATGCCAAGGGTAGAGGGTCTACGCGGTCCTTCAGGACAAAATTCTATGCTGTCATTCGGGATCTATATATATTCTTTGGAACATGTGTGAAGTATTGGGAGACACATACTTGATCCCTAGTATATGTATATGATTCTTAAGGAAATCTATGTGGTCCTTATGGACATTATTATATGGCACTACGGTGCAATTCTACGCGGCACTTCGATGCATTTATACGAGCTGTGGTGACATCATAGTGCACAACCTCACAATACTCACATACCTTAGGTTCTCAATATGATATCATGGGACAATAAATTTGTTAATACAAATTCATGAATGTTAAAGTTATATGCTTACAGGTAAGGATAATGGTGATGTAAACTACATGGATTAAGTATACGCTTTCATCCCATTTCATATCATTATGACATTTTCATTATATTTCCTTGTTATTATTATTACATTGCCTCACTAAGTCGATGACTTAGCGTGTGAGTGTTCACACGTAGGATCCAAGAAAGTAGACGAGACAGATTAAGCAGTTGGACAGCATTACTCCTGCAACCATCAGATCAGAAGCAACTTAATCAGTAGGTCATTTTGTTATGTAAATGGAAGTTGGCATGTAATTAAAGGGTTAAGTTGTGTATGCTCTGAATATTTTGGTAAACTTATATTACCATATGTATATTAGCGTATTTTCGTAATATAAGTTCAAGTATTTTGCTATTATTTGTTAAGAGTTGTGTTTTAAAAGTCAATGTAATACCTTTGACTCGTATCCGGGTCGGGTACGGGTTGGGGGTGTTACAAGATGAGAAGTGTTATATCAACACCAACCGAAAGAGAGATTTTTTAATTTTGATGTCTTTGAAGAATAAGAAGAAAAGTCAAACGGTTGATCAAATATGTTAAACCAACCCAATTCAATTTGTAACAAATGATACTGTTAATGACCAATTTATAACAAACGATAACGATAGTGACCAATTTACGTAATTTACCTAATAATACTATTTTGAAAAATTTTTAATACTCTTTTTTAACGAAAAAATATTAAAAATGTATAATATTGAAATAACAACAAATTTAAACTTTCAAATCATAAAATTTAACCACTATTCGATCTATTTCATAATCGATAAGCCCGATTCAATTAAACTATTCTCATTGAGACAATTTGTTATTTCTTTTTATCATATTATTATTTCTTTCTAAATCATTCAAATTGAAACTTTAAAATATGTTAACCTGATGACTCGATATTTTGCTAATTATCAATATGGGCGGCTCAAATTGCAAGATCTAGTTTTGAGAGTCCAAATTGCATACGTAATCGAACATTCTTGATATATTTGTAAATTGTTCGAATTAAAATATTATAATATTTTGATTTATTTTGATTGATAATTTAAATTGTTTTTTATTTTACAATCATAATATAAACGTTCCTCCTTTTATGCTTGGGAAAAATTCTACACGATGTGTGATTTGCAACAAACGTTATTCGAGCATTCCTCTGATGGGCTTCATTTTCATAAAACGTAGGCAGGGCAGCCCGTCTACGTAAACTGCGAAGGTTTCGCTTTCAAGCATTTAAAAGCCTTGTTTTACCGACAGCAGGCTATCGTTTAGCGTTAACTTCGAGGATCTGAAGTCCGCTTTACACTCCCAAAACTCGCCCTTTTCATCTTCTTCAGACATGGTTACTGTAGCATCATCAAACCTGCTTTCTCCTCTTCATTCTCCTTCCCATGGTAAAAAAGACTATGACTATCCTCCCATTTCTACTTCTTTTGTTCCCAGGTTTAAAGATTCCCATTTATCTAAGCCTAAACCCACACTCAAACGCTCAAGGAATGCTTCACTTCTTCCTCTAATCAGAGCCCGAAACGCTCCTGGTATGGCTCTTTAGCTTACCAACAGTTACATAGCTTTACCACCTTTTATTTCGCTCTATTTGTTTCTTCACTGGAATGCATAGAAACGGGTTCCTCAAATTTTACTGGGTTTTTTTTTCTTTGTTTCTATTGCTAGTGGATTATACCCCGACGCAGAATTTTATAAAATTGAGGCGATTATAAGGTGTTCACTGTTTTCTTTCTTAATAATTTTAAAGCGCGTGGGATTATGGTTAATCTGTTAGTTTATAGCATATGTGATTTAATTTGGGTTTCTTTTTGTTTTTACGGATCTTTGAACTGAATAGACCATGGCGAGTTCAGCAGGTTTCTTCGGTAAGAACTACTATAACTTCACTAGTGATGTATGCATAATGCATTCTCATTTGTTTCCAGTTTTCGTTACTGTCCTTTGAGTTGATAGTACTAAAATGTTGTGTGATGTGACAATGTATGCTTAGAATTTGCATCTATGGTCTAGATTTTGGCATACTAGCAGTGATTTGAGCATTACTTCCTTAATTCGTGTTCAAATTCAACCTTGAATCGGAAGCCTTGTAATGGTACTGAGGCATTATTCTGGCACTCTTCCATGTCAATGCATCGGTTATGCGGAGTAGTCTGGTCAAGTTACAGTGTGCATCGTCACTGTTTCAAAAGATGAGCTGATTATGCTTAATAAGTATATAAACGCCTTTTGGTTCACATCGAAATTGAGGTTTCTTTTTTAAAACAATAATACTTATTGTAGACTTAAAAGTTTTAAAGCTTGGTTTAGTTTCTCCTCAAGCCCTCCACGTTTACTGAAGAAATGGGCTAACCGAATAGTGTTTTGATCTAATTTTTAGTTTCTTTTCTTAAAAAAAGGCTCTTCTTCAAATGGGTATTCGTGGTGTTACGGTCTCTGATGTTCGAGGCTTCGGTGCTCAAGGAGGTTCAACAGAGAGACACGGAGGTAAGCTCTGGTTATATACAAGGGGCTGAAAGTTGCACCTTTTGATATTTGAAATTCAACAGATTTTTAGTCCATTTCTCCTCTTTCTTAGACAGACCTCGGTATGCTGATATTCCCTTTTTTAACTTTAGCCTTCATGTTTATTATTCATTAGGCTCGGAATTTTCAGAAGACAAGTTTGTTGCTAAAGTCAAGATGGAGATTGTGGTGAGCAAGGACCAGGTATATACATGCATAATCCAAAGAGTCATTTCTCCTATACATGAATGATTTGGTATTATATTAATATCATTTCTAAATGATTATCCTGCCAAAGGTGGAATTTGTGATAGACAAGATAATTGAGGAAGCAAGGACTGGTGAAATTGGTGATGGCAAGATTTCTGTAAGAACTCGAACTGTTTACTCTCTGTATCTAATACTGTAGTAATTTTCTTTCGTCGAAATTTATGGCTTCGAACTAGCAGGTTAAGTACAAAACCTCTTTAATGAGAAACTTTAGCCTAGTTTTGTTCTTTTGTGAAGGCAAAATGGTCACGCTACCAAACATATGATATGATGTGATGGGTTTATCCGGTGATCAAATTCTCCATGTTTGTTCTGGCATTCGGAAAAAATTAGAATATTGGTCGAATGCTGCATTTTGAATTCTCCCTGTTTATTATTCTTCCTTTTCTTGTGTCCTAGCCATTAGCCACATATGAATGAATGAAATTGTTAGTGAAAGAGTCCAAATGATCTGATTTCATGCCTGTAAAGAGTTTAAGCTGTTGGTTGTCGATTAATGCTGATATCTTTCAACTGCCGATCAAACTTCTGATGATGTTTGCTGCTTCTACAGTGATACCTGTAGCAGATATTATAAGAGTTCGCACAGGTAATTTTCTATTAACCATTCAGGATTTAATATGAATAATTTCTTCGCTTTAGCAACTACCATATCAAAGATGACGCCTCTTTAAGCAAGCCCTCGGTAACGTAGACAATTTTTCAGGTGAGCGCGGAGAGAAAGCTGAGAGGATGACCGGAGGCCGTGCTGATATGTCAGCCACTACATTGACCTAAGTTACAATATCGATGTCGCTGATTAGCGGAGCATACACATACTTTAAGCATACTGCCTGCTGCTGCATGTTGTAGACATGGAGAAGCTTATGATAATACTGCCATTGTTGCGTATTAATATTTCCTGATGCTGGAATGAATAAGTAAAAGAAAGGACTAGTCATGGAGTTTTACCACCTTATTAAGTGATTCTGCTGTTCTTCATAGTTCTGAATTAGGTGGGTCAAATTATGGTCTTGGTCCCTCTATTAATTCAAACATGGATTTAGTCTTTTTTTTTAAAAAAATAATTTGACATAATTTAGGCTTTTTATATAATAGTCAGTTAGGCCAAATAGTTACACCATTAATCACCCTGTTTAATTTCATGTTGACGTTTGTAATACAATTTCATGTTAGAATTCAATCAGTATTTTGGAATTTTTAACGATGTTAGTTACTTGGATTAACTGATGATGTAATAAAAGTAAAGGATTAAATTTTTTGAAATACGCTTAGTAGTAGAAAATCTCTTAGGTCTCTATATTATCAAAATTAAGCAATTTGTCCCACTAAAGAAGCAATTTAGCCCTGTGAATTTGAAAAGTGAGCAATTATTAACATTTTTCATAAGTTTTATATAATTTTGATTGATATGATACTCAAATTAATATTTAGTGTTTACATATTATGCTAAAGTGGTCCCAATCTTAGAAAACCAACAAGTGAAGCGTTCAACATTTGTATAATTTGTACATTATGTGTTGATTTTTTTCTTAATTAAGATCAAGATGACATAATATGAAATGTTAGGGATTAAGTTCTTTATTATATCAATAAAAAAAAATATGTAAAATTGATGGAAAATATTAAAGACATGATCAATTGTTCACTTTCGAAAATGATAGAAATTAAGTTGTTTCTCTTTTATTTATAGGGACCAATATGCCCAATTTCAAATTGAGAGGTACCTAAGAGACCTTTTCACCAAAAGTTCACTATTTATTGAAGTTTCTTTTAGGGAAAAAAATCTCGAGAGGAATCGACTACCGACCTTTTATTTAGTGGAAGGACGGCGATGTACAACGCGTGCATAAAAAGCGTCGTGATAACGGCGTTATAAGGTAAGAAGCTAGGAGCCTCGGAACAATAAAAAAAATGGGATAAACTACAAAAAAAAAAAAAATGGTCAATTTTGTTTGAGTTTTATAATTTTTTTGTGAGTGAATTCAGAAAAATATAAGATTTAATCATTTTCGTTTCGTTTTAGTTAATATTTGGTCACTTTCGTTTCGTTTTAGTTAAAATTTGGTCACTTTTATTTTGTTTTAATTAAGATGTGGTCATTGAAGGTTAACGACAGTAAAACCTTAACATTTTGCTTATGTGACACGGTAAATTTATAAAATTAAAATTATATCATTCGTATGTAGGTATACATGGATTAAGTTTTGGCAATTTTCCTTTCATATTTGTACACTTTTGTTCACCAAATTTAAAAAACATAAGTTTTGGTCACTTAAGTTATTGTTTTATTAAGTTTTGGTCACATATGTTATTATTTTATTAAGTTTTGATCACTTGGACGTTGAATGTCATTAGTTTGATGACATGACCTGTCAGTGAAATGGTTTAATTTTTATTTTAAGCCTTAAAATTTAGACAAAATATTGATTATGAATTTTTATGTAAGTTCAAATTAGTCTAGGGATAACATTTTAATTTACCTATTTTTTAATATGTTTCTCCCTAACCTCCAATATTGCTCATCTTCTCTTCTCTTCTCCTTCAAGCATCTTTGCTCCATTGCAATAGCCCTATTGTTTCTAATTATCAGCTGTAATTATTTGAAGTCAAATTAGGTGGGTTCTCAGTTGTAAGAAAAATATATAAAAAGAAGTAATGAAGATCGTGAAAAATACAGAGAATTTGTCATAAAAACTTTGAAAAGATTCACCACCACGACGATGCCACCACCTCGATACGAGAAAACAAAAACTTCTTCAATGGCGGTGTTGTTGACGCATATTACCAGTTTTCCATCTTTGACTCATTGTTGAACAACGAAATCCTTGTGATGTGAAAGATCGTCGAGAATGTTTGTCGCATCCGAACGTGATCGACCTCCACGACGTTTATGAATATCTAATTGGCACTCACTTAATACTGGAGCTCTACTCCGACGATGAGTTATTCGATCGGAACATCGCAAAAATGAGATACTCGAAGGTCGACGCGGTGGTGGTGGTGCGATAGATTGCGTAGGTCGCAAGGGTTAACGATGATCATAGGGATTTATAATTGGAAAATTGTTTGTTATTGAGCAAAAACAAATATTTGAATTTAAAGTTTATGGATTTTTTTATTTAGTTCAGTGGATGAATTCACGGATCTAGTTATCGGGTTGTTTGGATCAATTGATTATGTTTCACCAAAGGCGGTTTCTTAATGAAAAATCACCACAAAGAGTGATATTCGATTATCAGGTTATTTGAATCCATTCACTTGTCTTCTTTTTCCTTGTTGGATTTGACATTCTACAATCTCAATCTTTGGAAATTAAATTTTAGTTTGTGTAACTGAGATTACCCAGCTTCATCTTATCTATATATGCTTACCCTCTTATTTTTCTCTAAACTTGTGGTGATATTATTTGTTATCGAAAATTAGAAATATTTCATTATTCTTGAAATCCAGCATAAGTCATTGAAAGAAGACAAATGGAGCAATGGAGCATAGATGTCTGAAGAAGAAGTAAAAAGAAGATAAACAATGGGATTGAGAAGAAAACTTATTAAAAATGGATAAATTGAATTGTTGTCAAACTAATTGAATTTACAAAAAGACTCATAATTAGTATTTTGTTTAAATTGTAGGGGTTAAAATAAAAATCAAATTATTTTACTATCGGGTCACGTCATCAAACTAACGACATTCAACGTCCAACTTACCAAAACTTAATAAAACGATAAAGTGAGTGCCAAAAATTTAATAAAACAATAACGCAAGTGACCGAAACTTATTTTTTTTTTAAATTCAGTGAGCAAAAACATACAAATATAAAAGGAAAGTGACCAAAACATAATCCGCGTATTATCTACATGAAAATGATATAATTTTAATTTTATATATTTATTGTGCCACATCAGTAAATCATTAAAGATTAACGGTCGTTAACCTTCAATGACCATATCTTAATTAAAATGAAACGAAAGTGACCAAATCTGATATTTTTTGAAATTAATGAGAAAAAGTTTGTAAAACTTAAACGAAATGACTATTTCTATAGTTTACCCTAAAAAAATGGGCAGACGGCGTTCCGTTAAACTAAGATTCTGTTTTGGATTTATAAATAGAATGACCAATCTCCAAATACGCGTAAATTCACTGGAAGACAGCTCCTTCGATTTTGGGAGAGACGTGTAGATCTTCGATCCTCTCCTTTGATCGGCTTCGCGTAATAATCGACCTCGTTTCTCTCAGGCTAGTCTCTCTCTCTCTCTCTCTCTCTCTCTCTTCTTAAAAACTAAAGAATATTCTCGTTTTTCACAGAATTTTTCCGATCTGTATTTATTTCTTTAGAATTATGACTTTAATTTTTGTTTAAATATATTGAGTTTTTAATCCTTTGCGTTGTTTCATCTGCTCTGATTATTTGAAGCATTGTAAGTTCTTTGAATTGCTTCGATCTTCGTTTTTCGAATTGATTTCTTGCATATTTTATTGATATATAGATTTCCGTGTGTTGATCTGGAATAATTTATGTTCTGTTTGGTTTCCGATCACCTCTCCAACCATTCTATGCTTCTTTCAAATATAACCGTGGGATCTACTCCGATCTTGTACACTGAGAATTATTTTTGATGATTTGATTTCAAATAAATTGATGACTATCGGAACTGAATGGTTGATATCGGTGTTTGCAGACGTGAAAAATGGGGCTGTCTTTCGGGAAGCTATTCAGCCGGCTTTTCGCCAAGAAAGAGATGCGCATACTGATGGTTGGACTTGATGCCGCTGGTAAAACCACAATTCTTTACAAGCTTAAGCTGGGAGAGATTGTGACTACCATTCCCACCATAGGTAAGCCGCTATTTCTGCCTTTTATAGTTTAGCATTGAGCTTTCATTTGTTTAAAAGATGGCTAATTATGATATATTACTATTATTATCTTGTAGGTTTCAATGTTGAGACTGTGGAATACAAGAACATCAGTTTCACTGTTTGGGATGTTGGTGGCCAGGACAAGGTACCGTGTTTTTGTTTTCTTCAATTTTGATATTATTAACTGTAAAAAACTGCATCAAAAGGTTCTCGTCTAGGGCAGCTTCCGATGTATTTTTTTTTAATTATAATAGCCATGGATGGGAATGTGCTGGTCTCATAGATTCTATCAACTATATCTTGATAAACTGACTACTTTGTAGTTTCCTGAAATGAGGTGACATGGACTGGATCTTCATTTAGTATAAGGTCGTTGCTTAGCAGTCAAAATTGTACCTTTTGTTTTGTTTATTGTAGATCTTGTTTGATCTTTTAGAATAATTAAAAAAAGTGCATATGGTGTCTGTTTATCAGTTTTAATCAATTGTCCTATTTGCTTTGATTTTCTACATAGATCCGACCATTGTGGAGGCATTACTTCCAAAACACACAAGGACTTATTTTTGTGGTTGATAGCAATGATCGTGATCGTGTTGTTGAAGCTAGAGATGAGTTGCACAGGATGTTGAATGAGGTATCTGAGCAGTAAAGTTTCTTGTTACCGTTCAAATATTGCTACTAACACGGTTGTGAGGTTCTTGGATGGAAAAGGGTGGTTCAGCCTACATTTAACATACTATTTTATGTGCATTGGCAGGATGAGTTGAGGGATGCTGTACTGCTAGTTTTTGCAAACAAGCAAGATCTTCCAAATGCCATGAATGCTGCTGAGATTACTGACAAGCTTGGTCTGCATTCTCTTCGCCAGCGCCACTGGTAAGAGGAACAGTTCCCTGTGTCTCGTATCAGACACTCTCTAGTTGTGGTTATTGTATATCATAAACTACAATACATTTTGCAGGTACATCCAGAGCACGTGCGCCACTTCCGGTGAAGGACTGTACGAGGGGCTGGACTGGCTCTCCAACAACATTGCAAACAAGGTAAGCTCACACACCGATAACCTTATAGTTAAAACTGAAGTTGTCTGATTCTAAGCCTTTGGCTTCTTCAGTTTCTGATATTTTGAACACAATTTGCAGGCATAGACAGCATAACCGGGTTGTCAGTCTCACTAATGCAGGCCCCTTTTTGAGTTATACGGATGTCTACCCCTGTTTTTCTTAAGTGTTTTGGTTTTATATTCTCGCAAAACGTTGCTATTTGTTTCTTTTAGTACAAGAACAATTGTTTTTCTTTCCTGTGGTATTGTCTTGAGATATTGCTGCCAAGAAAGAAGGCTAGGACTACTCTTTCCTTGCGGAAATTGGTTGCTGCCTAGTTTCATTATTGTAATGTTAGATATATATATAGACACACGGTATGGTTTGGTTTATTTGTTCCATGAATGCTTGTTTAAGCATGTGCACCCTTTATAGTTTATACTTCATAGAGCTAGGTTCATAATGTCAACAGTTAACCAATTTCTGTCATTCCAAGCTCATGCAAGGTTTTGAAGCTAGGAATGGCTTGTTGAACAGGAGATACACAGGCGTGGCTAAGATCTGTTTTAAGTTATTGTATTATTCACGCTTAACAATCAATACCCTAAAATAAATTCACAGAACTAAGATATGCGTTTCATCAATGAATCTGCATATAGCCTTTTCTTAAGATAAAGTCATTGTACAGGATTTTTCCCAACATAAGCATGTAGAGTAAAAGAACAAACTCGATCTATATATCCTTTAAAACCAATATTTATTTATTTATTAAAAGAATCTTATTTCAAAGCATATTTCAGAATTAATCAACAGCTCACAGTAATAGAAATTAATGGTTGAATGTCTAATTGCTTACAAATTAATAAATTATTTCGGTACTTTGAAAAACAACATAAATGAATTTAGGGTTTCTTATGATTATATAAGATGTACAAATTAGATAATTTGAGAGTAGAATAATTTTATACAAAAGATAACACGAAATGAGAGCAAGTCCGAATGATATTGTAAAACAATTTAAAAAATAATAATTTAGCCCTCGAACTTTATAAAAAATATCATGCTAATACCATGAACTATCACATCAATAATGTGAACCGTCCCTCTATTCTATATTACTTTGTAGAACATGTTCTCTACTCTTATAAATAGGAGTTCTCGCAACAAATTAAAAGATTTTTTAACAGTTTGACACGACATTCTTATTTCAAAAGCTCTCTCAATACTTTCATTTGCTCAACTTTGATATCGGTCACACCCAACTAATTCCAGTAGCTTTCTACCTTATCAACTATCATATGTCGATGTGTTCAGTATTATAAAATTTGCTCTAATATTTCTCTCCACTGTATCCCCTACATTCCGTTTAACTTGTTTTTTTTCCCTTTACATTTCTCTCTCCTAAAGAATCGTCTACAATTAGAAAGATTTCAAACCCCAACAGAATAGTTTGCAAGGAAAACGTGACACCTATATACAATGACGGATCTATAAATGTTTTTTAGGATAGACATATACAAGGTAACAACAAAGAAATTTTAAATCGTTTAAACACATAAAATTTTAAGATTGACACTATTAATAAAATAAGAAATTAGAGAAAATTTGAATTTCAAGATAAATACATTTCCATCCCGACTATATGGGACTTATATACATTAAATAACACTTATTCTCATCCGATACATTATATAATATTAGTTGACTTTTTGATAAAATAGAGTCGTAGTTTAAGAATATAAAACGATCGTAATTATCGATTTCCACCCTTTAAGGTTTATTGTATAATTACAACTCGAATCCTAGACCATGTACTTATATGATTTTTGATATTTCAGTATGTTTCTATTTAGTTGAATCCTCGCAAGAGCATGAAAATTGTCTTAGCTTAACAAATCCAATATATCGTCGCTGGGACGAAGCTTGAAGAGGTCAAGACGGAAATCCCCCAAGCGTGTGGAGTAGGCAGCCTTCTTGTACTCGCCCCATGTAAACGCCCTATAAAGCCTAGGCTTTTGGGGTGACACAAACTGCGGCAGAGGTGATATGGTTCCGGTAAGAGGCGGCGCTCCGAAATACATCATCGACATCCGTGAATTCCGAGACAAGTTCGCCAATGCCATATGCCTCGCACTCACAAATCTGTCATTCGTTAGAACCTGTCAAATACCCCCAAACACTTGGTTATAATTAAATTCAAATCGAATCAATTTGGATTATAAAATTTTGGAGAAAATCATTTTACTTTTAGCATGCAGAGTAACATTATTGTAATTATAAAAACTGACCCGCAAGGCATCCCTGATGATCACATAGAATTGAGTCGGGTCAGGACGAACCGGGATCCAAAACCCATCATGCAAACAGATTTCAAGTCCAGCAACATTGTTGGATCGTAACACGGTGAGGATCTGAGGGTCCGAATGCTCTCCAAATCCGATTTGATCCTCTTTGCAAGCTTTAGAAGAGGGGTCCTGATTGTTCACTGCCGGATAATGATTGAACCTCAGGACTGAGTCACTTTGGACGTCTCTGATTTGCCTACTGAAGACGTGCTTATCCGGGATCCATAGACCCTCGGCCACCAGACCAAGAACCTCGCTCGCTAGCTCTTCACTGCTTCTATATAATCATTCGCAGCACAACTGCAAAAAGAAAAATAAAATGGCACTACATCAAACGATTTATCATAATATTTCGATTTATGATCCATGATTTTAATATTGGTCTACTATCGGAATAACAACTCTTATATAATAGTAAAGGTATGATTGGAAATTATTAATAAAAATTCATAATACCCATATTAACTCTAATAGTAATAAAATCGAAAATGTGATAGTAACCGTAATTTAAATTGCTGTTTATCGATTGGAGAAAGGATTGGTGTGAAGAAGAAGATACTCGAGTTCACCCTAATCGCCATTGAGTCCGATGTTTTTGAGACCGTAGCCGAAAGGGGTGGCCGGAACCGCCCGCTGCTTAACACCGGGTGGTTTGCCGAAAGATCGAACACCTTCAGCTTCCAGTCTAGATGTTACCTCCCAAGGGATACCATGGTTGATGACCTTAAAGATACCGTACTCTTCGCAAGCTTTGACGATCAGCTCCGACACTACGGACTTGTCAACTGAAAGATCGACCACCGGAATCCCAACTGCCTTGGTTTTCTTGGCTCTCATACAAGCCGGCGACGACAGCGCAACCATATTTTTTGAGACTAAATCAATAGGAAACTGGAAGATAAAGAATTTAGTAACCGGCAAGGTCGTTGTATCGTATTTTGCTAGTATCAATAATAGTTTGAGTTATAAAGTATACTGAGTGCTCACCAACGCTTCCAACATATTAATTATTGTAAATTATTATCGAACACTTAAACTTACCAATACGAAAAATTAAAATTATCGAGAATCTTGAACACTCAAAACTTCACCAGATGAAATGGAATTCCAACTCTCTCTATATAAAATTATTTTAAATGATTTTGGTGTTTAGAGACCATGTGTTTAATGGTATTTATAGTTTTGATTTTTCATTAAAAAAATCACCTAAAATCACACATTAATTGACATATGCCGCATGTCCATTATCCATAATCGCTAATTAGAACGTGGGATTGTTCTTATTAACTCCCATGAACCATAATGTGGAAATTGCCAACATTTTTTCACTTGGTTTGGAATGCCCATATTTGATATAATGCACAAATTATGATGATATTTTTTTAAAATTAATATCTTTCATGTATCACAGTTTATCTTATATCAATACTTTAATTAAATTTCTTAATAAATAAATTCAATGTTTTTTATAAATTTAAAATTTTAGTGACATTTGTCGAAATAATAAAATTTATGTTGCACAAAAATAAAAAAAAAAATCAAATTTAGTAGAGTTCTATTAAAATTGTTATTATAATAAAAATTATAAAATAGGAACAAGTCTCGTAGACAACATCTTTAAACTCCTATGGTGACATGCCTTTAATCAAAAGTTCAACTAATATATATTCAATGTTAATCTCTTCAATCATATTAAATTATATTTCGTGTGAGGCAGTTTGAAAATACGAAATAAACTCAACATATATAGTGAAAGTAATAGTTAAGATTTGCTTGATATTCTTCTAAAATATAGCACCACTAGTAGACATAAATATTTACTTTGATGTTGAGTTATATGAATCATCATAATCAGTAAAATCTAAATCTGAATCATAATATATAATTAATTTCAAATTATTTGATCGTTATAATATGTTTAAAGCTAATAGATAATAAAAAGATGATCAAATAACTAGTCTATTATTTTTCTAATAAATAATAATAAAAAATACTAAATTAATAATTATTATTTTACAACACCCAAAAATCGAATCTTAATTATTATTTTAATATATTTGTGGATTATTATTTTAGAGTTTAAATTTTCAATTTGTTTCATATACTCTTTTGATAATTTGTTAGTTAAATTTATTAATTTATATTTATACTAAGCTTTATATAATATCATAATATTTTAGCTACAGTTAAAAAATAATTTAAAAATTTTGGTGAGTTTAACTAGCAATGAGACGAGTAACGAGCTTAACGAGTAACGAACTTAATGAACACAAGTTGAGCAATAAATTTTTTTAACAAGTATGAGTCAAGCAAAATTTTAATAAACACGAGTTAAGCAACGAGTCAAGTTGAACAATAATTTTTTTTAACGAATACGAGTCGAATACTACCTAACTCATGATCGACTAGCTTGATAACCGCCCGTTTTTCTCTGCCCATTGTGTTTTAGTAGGATCTAACGGGAACTGAAACATAAAATGACTTTTCCTTTTTCTTTTTTTGAAAGACGGTATGTGGTTCAGATTGATCTAAATTAGGTCCAGACCAACTCTAAAACTGAAGTAGCAATGTCAAAAAATCTTTGCCTGTTTGTAACTTGAGGGGATAAAAGCATGCCCAGCCTCATGTCTTTACCTTCTTCCACTCACCTGCTTCTTCCTAAACTCCCTCAAAATATTAACTTCAAATCTGTTGGGTCTATAAATTGTTGCAGTCTAAGAAAACAGAGCAAGCCAAGTCTAAGAACCTCTTGGCCTTCCATCTCTCTATCCCTTTTCGGTTCTGGTTTCATTTTGGGTCCCCTCATCGATGGTCTTCATTCAAGGGTCGACCTTGTGGTCTACCAAAATGGAGCAATAAACATCGGTCCGCTCCACACCAACATATGGGTAAATTCATAATTGGCTTCTTTAAGTTACCCTCTTCTTTAAAGCTTCTTAATTTCACTTTTCAGAGATCAAATTCCTTGGTGTTCTAGGTCCCTCCTTTGCTGGGATTGTTTTACTGTACAGTTGGGTTGCTGCAACTCTTCTTGGATGAAAAGGAGAATCAAAATGTTCCTCAGGGAAGTCTGGAAAAAGCTGTTGGATCTCTTATGTGAGTCTATCTATGTTTTTTTATAGTTTCTAAATTGTCGTGAATTGAATTCTCCGATGGTTTTGTGAAAACAGAGCATTGGTACTGTTTATCGGACTGAGCTCTGAAATGTATAAAAATGGAGTTCCGGACAACGTTGAGGCGTACGTTTTGTTTGCTGCGGCAGAGCTTTTATGGTTCTCGCTAGATAGGACACGTCTGGGTTTCGCCCTAGCATCTGTCATTGGCATTTGCTGCCCCTTGGCTGAAATTCCATTGATGAAGTAAGAGCTCGCTCGACTTCTCTGTTTGTATGGATTCATAATTTCACAAAAAGGTGGTTTTAGTCCCTTTACTATGCTGGATTTGGATTTAATCCTCTCTACTTAATTTGGCATGATTGAATCATCTACCTTTATTACGTTTATTAGTGAATCTAAAATTATAACATTGTTAACCGATGCACTAAAGTGATGACATGAACTTTTATAGTAAGAAATTTATATGAACTTTCTTTGTTATAAGAAAATTATCGACTATGGTTTAACACTATTATTAATTTAAACTTACTGATAACGTTATAAAACAAGTGTGAAACCAACTACCAATTGAATGAGAATTTCGATCTTCTAAGCAATGTCAGAATTCAAACCTTAATGTTGTAAATAGAACAACTGATTTGAAACGGACATCTCATAACGGGCTTGTACAAAATCTGAATTAGTTAGTCGATAAGTCAAGTACCGGTGATCATATCAGGGAAAAAAGAAGATTAAATTATGCCAGATTGAAGTAGAGAATTAAACCTTAAGTTTCAGCATAATGGAGGGAGTGAAACCCGAATTAGACCCACGAAATAATTAGAAGCATTACTGTTGATTAGAGTGTTTTAATGCTTAATCTCGTGCAGGTTTTTCCATCTCTGGTACTACCCACAAGCAAATATTGAGATCTTTGGGCAGGTAACTGAAGGGAACTTTATAGGTTTTTTATGAAATTGCGTGGCATTTTAAGTTAAGAGGTAGTGTTTTTATGCAGGGACTTGTTACATGGACAGTCACCTGCTATTTTGCCTACACTCCATTCCTGGTATGTTTATCCCGCTGGCTGCAGTCCACCATTACTGCTACTGATACACAGAAGAGCGAGTGAGTAACTGATGAGGAATTGCTTCTCCTGTCTATCTAATATTTACTAGTGATTTGGGTTCCCAAATGGAATCTTCGAGTTTCTTTACAGGGTTTCATGTATGTTAAGGGATGAATAAAGGATTTTATAAGTTTGTCCCTTAAAATTTTATATGTTTACTTCTTAAAACAAAGTCTTGGTACCATGTTAAGTTCATTAGTTTTTCTCACGTTTTTTTTTTCCTTCAAACTTTTCTTTGCTTCACTATTATTACTTCAAAAACATCACAGAATTCAAGACCTTCCTACTTATAGATATGATAACACACTACTCGCAGAAAATTCCTCACTCCTCTATAGCAGCTATCCAGCTGGCACAAGCTGGCAACTATTCACCCTAACAAATTATTAACAATTCACGTCACTTGCATGCATTTATAATTCATAACGTAATATTGTAATATCAACATTCACCCTACTTAGTAAACTTGAAGAACCATCACCACAAACAACATACAACTTTTGACGAAAAACTGGAAAATACGCTGGGAAAGAGGTTTAGTAAAACCATCGGCTATTTAAAAACGACCAGGAACGCAATTAACACAGGCAGAGCCAATTTCTCCCTAACGAAATCAACGTTAAGTTCAACATGCTTAGATCAAACATGAAAAACAAGGTTAGCACTCATGGCAACTGCACTCGTACTGTCACTTCAAACAGTTGGAATATCTCCACAAACAATACCCATATCGTTAAGCAAAGCTTGTAATCACACAAGCTCAGAAACCACGTCAGCAATCCCACGATACTCGGTCTCTGTTGTAGACCCCGAGACAGACCATTGTTTCTTTGAGCAATAAGAAATCAAATTATCACCAATATACACACAAAAGTCAGAAATTGATCTTTTGTCATCCGAATTGCCAGCCCAATTTGCATCCGAAAAAACACGTAAAGCAAGATCACTCCTAGAAGCACGAAACAATAACCCATAATCCATCGTACCACTCAAGTATCGTAAAATACATTTGATAGCTAACCAATGCAGCTCACAAGGTTGATGCATGTACTGAGCAACACAACTAACACTGAATGAAATATCGGGGAGAGTATGGCTCAAATATTGCAAATCACCAACCACACTTTGATAGAGTTGGGGATCGTCAAGAGGACGACCACCATCCCGAGATTGGGCGTAGAAAGCATTGGTGTTGGGACAGCTCGAGCATCACCCATATCCGCTCGTTTTCGGAGTTCACGAATATATTTGCGTTGGCTTAATAATAAATCCTCTTCACAACGATGAACTTCCATACCAAGAAAGAAATTCAAGTCACTAAAATCTTTTAGAGAAAATTCTTTACCAATAACTCAAACAACATCGTCAATTAATTCATCACAATTGCCAGTGATAGTTATATCATCAATATAGACAATAACATGCACAGAACGCACCCCATCTAGCTTAATAAATAATGAGACATCGGTTTGAATGCCAACAAATCCAATGCCAAGCAAAAAAGAACAAAGTTTAGAATACCAATTTCGAAGAGTCCTTTTCTAACTTGCAAACCAAATGCTCCCCGATGGCCAATTTTTGTTCAAAACCAGGAGGTTGTACCATGAACACATCTTCAACCAATTCTCCATTAAGAAATACATTGTTAACATCCACTTGGCGTAACTTCCAATTTGTTATGAACCATCAAGGATAACACCACATTCACAATGGAAGACTTAACAACCGGACTAAAAGTATCGCGAAAATCAAGACCCGAAACTTGAAAAAAACCTTTCGCAACAAGTCGAGCTTTGTAGCGTGCCACCGAACCATCTGGATTACGCTTTATTCTAAACAACAACTTAAAACCAATCGATGTTCTATCCACAGGTAACGAAATAAGCCTCCTTGTGCCATTCTTTATTATAGCCTTATACTCGTCAATAACCGCTTGTTTCCATTGAGGCGAAGCAAGCGCTTCTTTGATCGTGACTGGCTCTACCTCATCACAACATTCTTCCATTGCATAAAAAATACGAGGTTTAAAAACTGCAAGTTTACTCCGAGTAACCATGGTGTAACTGTTCATCGATACTTGAGAATGAACATCACGATTATCATGCTCCGAAACAGGTGCCAAGGAATTAATATCACAGTCCAATGAATTTGAATTTGCCAAGGGAGCTACTGCCACTATGTCCAAAGAATTAGCACTACGGTCAACACAAGTCAAACCATGCTCCAATAGTGGTGTTGTCACCACTGCAACATATTGTCCAGGGGCAGCATCACCGCACGGCTCCTGCGCAATAGATATAGGATTTGCACTGTTCCTGAACCACCAAAGAAGCACTAACCACGTCCTCCTTGATTGATGTCACCGCCCCAACAGTCCCATCAACTATAGCACCGACCTACTCACGAGCCATAAATTCACCAGCTTGCTGCCCAGTAGCATAGTCCAAAATTGGTGCACCAGCCTGCCCAGAAACCTCCTCACGCAATAACCGAGACTGGCCAGGTAAAGACACATACATGGAAGCAGTAGACTTTCCCATCTTTTGCCAAACAAAAATATCCTTTGTGATCCAAGTTATACCCAAGAAATGTACAAGGCTCGGAGCGAAAATTAAATTTATGCGACCGGAATGGTCAAAGACATGGAAAACAAGGACTCCAAATACATGTAAATGATCATAGGAAGGCATAACACCAAACAACTTCTCATAAAGAGACATACCTTGAAGGATCTTGGTGGGTAATCTATTGATCAAATGAGCCGTCATCACAACCGCAGAAGACCAAAACTTCAAGGGTAACGAACCTTGAACCAACAAAGTTAGTGTCATATCAATAACATGACGATGTTGGTTCTCAACAACGCCATTTTGTTACGACGTATAAGGACTGTTGAACTATCAGTTAGGTTGTTTTGATTAGTTAGGGATTAGCATATTATTAAGGGCTATATAAGCCTATTGAATATTGAGCTAAGAAACAGGCTTTGTGGTCTTTTCTATCAGTTTAGTAAAATCCTATTTCTCTTTCATTTGTATTTTTCTCACTCTCTAACTATTAGTTTCTCTTCCACTGTTGGTTGCCGCCGTTCGGTGGCTTCCGGCCATCGTGTTGGACCTGCAACACTTCATCATGGTATCATTCGCCAAAGATCCTGATGTCATCTTTCTTCCGTTGTTTTCATTCCGTTCTTTGATCGGGTTCTTCAATAGCTTCGAAGTTTCCTCTGTCGCCTCCTTCTCAGTCGAAGTACACTTTTCTGGGTTTCTACAGCAGCGAGAGAGGCAAAGGAGATCCAATATTGAATCAACAGCAGCAGCAATGGCTAGACAAGCCTCACAACTATCCGATCTTTGTCTTCCCAGATATCCCCGCTCAATTCCCTCTCCTCCTCTTCCTCTTCTCAATTTCTGACCCAGTCACAGACTTTCTCGGCGGCTCCAGCGTCTCAGCCGGCGATTTTCGTAGACAAGAATACTCGTGTTATTTGTAAGGCATTAAGGGAAAAAATGAAACTTTCCACACCGAGCAAGCCATTGAATATGGCACTAAGATGGTTAGTGGAGTTACACCGAAGAAGGGTGGCACAGAGCAGTTAGGACTTCCTGTTTTCAATTCAGTAGCGGAAGCAAAAGTTGAAACCAAGGTCAATGCCTCTGTCATTTATGTTCCTCCACCTTGTGTTGTAGCTGTTATTATGGAGGCTATGGAAGATGAACTGGATCTGGTTGTTTGCATCACGGAAGGAATTCCTCAACATGACATGGTCCGTGTGAAGGCTGCCCTGAATCGGCAATCAAAAACCAGGTTAATTGGTCCAAACTGCCCTGGCATCATTAAACCCGGGGAATGTAAGATTGGAATTTCCTGCAAAGATTGGTGCAACAATGCATGAGCGAGGTTAAGTGTGATTTCTACTACTGATATTGATTCATGGTTCTTCATATTTGGATTTTGATCATCTGAGTTCCAAGTTGGATTACTGCTGATAGATGTTGATAATTGTCCATCACTACTTTTAGTATGTATTGTTGACATATGATGCTTCTCATATTACAGATGTATGTTGTATGTTGCATTTTGATTTGGTTATAAGCTGGTGTTGATGTTGATTTATGGGCATTTCTACAACAGATTTGGGTTGCTCAGTTAATCTCAGCTTGTGTTTCTTTGTTACTTGTTTGTTTCTCTCACAAGGTGAACATGAGACTTTTGAGGCTTAACAACTAAGGTTTCATGGAAAGAAAAATTATCTGGGGAGGGTTAAGAGTTTAACAACCTTGCCTTCCTTAACCAGACAAAATAAGATGTTTTCTTGCCCAAGAGAGACTTCAGATTGCATCTGGGAGCTCGTAGCTTAACCGCCTTGCTTCCAACCAAAAGAAAGTCCCAATAAGTGAAGAGGAAGAACAATTAAGATGAAAAAAAACTCTTGAAAAGAAGAAGAAAAGTCAAGGAAAGTTGAAGAAAATCCGAATAAGTGAGGGAGGACAATGAATTTTTTTTTTTTTTTGAAGAAGAAGATCAAGAAAATTGAAGAAGCATGGAGAATGTTGAACTATCAGTTAGGTTGTTTTGATTAATTAGAGATTAGCATATTATTAAGGGCTATATAAGCCTATTGAATATTGAGCTAAGAAACAGGCTTTGTAGTCTTTTCTATCAGTTTAGTAAAATCCTATTTCTCTTTCATTTGTATTTTTCTCACTCTCTAACTATTGGTTTCTCTTCCACTGTTGGTTGCCGCCGTTCGGTGGCTTCCGGCCATCGTGTTGGACCTGCAACACTTCATCAAGGACATGTAATGCGATGAAGTATACCACTATGTTAAAGGACATTCAACAACATGCGAAACTCACCACTCCAATCACTTTGAATGACTTTAATGGATGCATCAAATTACACATAATTATACGTTGAAACCGAAGGGAAACATTCAACACTTGAAACTTATCTCTTAACAAATACACCCAAACATATTGAGAGTGAACATCCACAAACGACACAATATTTAAACCCATTGGAAGAAATATGCAGAGGTCCCCAAACATTCGTAAAAATAAGTTGG